ATTGTCCTTCAACTACCAAACAGGCAATGATACTGTGCTAGCTGTCTACTGGGCTTAACTGGGAATGAAGACATTGTGAGTCTTCTTTTCACAGTGTAGGTTTCCCTTATACTTGCCATAAGAGTTTTCTGTCATCCTTCTTGCCAGTGCCACAAAGATGGCTCGTTAATGACCAAAGCAGGCCTGCAAGCCAGGTCTCCTTCCTAGGCTCTGAATCCTTCCAATAAACCTGCTTCACACTGTGTCTTCTGCACGATGATAGACAGATCTTTCAATTCCTCGTAGGTATTATTCACTACCTGTTGATTTTACATATTTTCTAAGACTTTTAATTCTTTGAGCCAAATTTGGTGACAGAAATTATAATAAGAGTTAGTGTTCTAATCATGGGAGAAAGAAGGGCTGTGTATGCATAGGGAGACAGCTCAGGGGGCAGGAGTGCATGGAGAGATGGACACAGGGAAGAGGTAACTATCGGAAGGAAGTGGGAGGGGAGCTGTTGCACTGGGGTAAATTGTAGTCAATGTCATGAGACACAGTGATTGTGAACTGCTGTATGGAAAGTGAATTTGCTCTGTAAATTTTCACCCAAATCACAATTAAAAAAAAAAAAAAAAAAAGAGTTAGTGTTCTGCTTAAGACCAGAGGCAAAATAGGTAAGTAAGCCATGCACATATCTGACTTATCATTTTTTGTTCCTTCCTGTTATATTGCTTTTAATTCATCTTTCATGGCCAAGTCCATTCTGATTCCCACCTCTTCTTCTTCTTAAAATGCATTTTATTGAAATATAATTTATATACAGTGAAATACACAAAACTAAAGTGGCATGGGTCAATGCATTTTTCTTTCAGTGTTCCCTCCACTCCCCTCCCACCCCTGGTAACCAACAAAGGTTCCTTCCCCTAACCCTAACCTGAACCTTAACCCTAAACCTAACCCTAACTCTAACCCTAACCCCAACCTTAACCCTAACCTTTCCTTATCTTTTTACAATAATGAACTAATACTGTATTTGTCCTTCTATGATTGACTTATTTCACTTAGCATAATGTCCTCCAAGGTCATCCACGTTATGCAGTGTTTTGCAGAGTCTATGTTATTCTTTAGTGTTGCATAGTATTCCATTGTGTGTATGTACCATAGTTCGGTTATCCACTCTTCTTTTGATGTGCATGTAGGTTGTTTCCATGTTTTTACTATTGTAAATAGTGCTGAATTGGATTGTTAATCTTTTTGTTGTTGAGGTGTTGGAGTTTTCTATAAATTTTAGAGATAAGTCCCTTGTCAGATATGTAATTATCGACAAGTATGAATTTGTTGCTGTCATTTTGTTAGGTGCTTTTTCGTGATGGTGCTGATTTTTTTTTTTTCCATATAATTTTCTATGCTGAACTCGTTTTGTTTATGAATTGCGTCACCACTTCCTTTGTTGCTATTGTTTTAGTATTTGCTAAATATTTGTACTGGTCCTCTTTTTTATTTTGATGTGAAGGTTTATCATTTTTCTTTGAGATTACCCTGTGATTTACAATTTCTTCCCAAGTACAGAATAGTCCGTACTATCATGTAGTTGTCTTGACTTCCCTACCATTTAGAAGTTCTGTAACCATACAGTTTTTTCCTTCTTTTTGGTTTGTAGTTGTCTTTATTTGTAAGTTGATGTCTCTGGTTCCCTGTTTACAATATTATAGGCTTATTTACTTTGGATACTTCCATAACTGGGTTGGTGTCTGTGTTATGTCATCATGTGTGTTAATGGTCAGTTGTTGGCTGTTGTTGGTTCTCTGTCCAAAGGACTCCCTTTAGCATCTCTTGTAAGGTTGGTCTAGTTTTAACAAATTTCTGCTCATCTAGAAATGTCCTAATTTCACCATCATATTTGAGGGAGAATCTCACCAGGTATACAATTCTTGGTTGGAAATTTTTCTCTTTCAGGGTTTTATATATATCATCTCATCGTCTTCTTGCCTGCATGGTTTCTGCTGAGAAATCTGAGCTTGGTCTTATTGGTTGCCCCTTATAGGTAACTTTTCATTTTTCCCATGCTGCTTTTAGGATTCTTCCTTTGTCTTTGGTTTTGGTGAACTTGATAATGATATGTCTTGATGATTTTTTGGGGGTCTATCCTGTTTGGGGTTCATTGGACTTCTTGAATGGATATATTCTTGTCTTTCATCACACTGGGAAAATTCTCTTCCAACAAATCTTCAACATTTTTTTCTGTGGTTTTATTTGACTCTTCCTGTTCTGGAATTCCAATGACACGTAGGTTATTCCTTTTGAGGGTATCCCACATGAACCTAAGACTGTCTTCATTTTGTTTGATCTTTTTTCTGATTGTTCCCTTTCCCAAGAAGTATTGAGGTATTTGCCTCCAATCTCACTAATTCTGCTTCCATTGATTCTATTCTACTTCTTTGCCCTTTCAATGTGTTATCTATTTTTGAAAATTTAGTATTAATATTCTGTATTTCTGTCTGTAGATTTTGTATCATTTCTAATTTTTCATTTATTTTGTCATTTTGTTCTTGTATTGTCTTTCAGAATTGCTGTAGGGTTTTCTCTGTGTTTCATAAATTTTGTCAGGGTTTTCCCTGATCTCCCTCTCAACTCATTGAAAATACCTAAATAGAATTCTTCTGAATTCCTTCTCAGGGAGTCCCAATGCTGCGTCTTCCTCAGGGATGTGTTTTGGTCTGTGTCCTGCTCCCTTATTTCTCCTGCTTTATATTGCTTCTTTGTGTGGACTGTGATGCTCTATTGTTTCCAAGGTATTGTGTTTATATTTAATTGGTGATTGTATGTTGGAAAATTGCCCACAATTTTCATTTTCTTTGTTTTGTTTATATGTTATCTATGTAAGCAGGGTACTGTGCTGTGCTCCTCTATCGCTGGTTGGCAGCACTTATACACTCACCACCTGTCTCCTTTCGCATGTCTGCCTCCCATATGTCCCTGCCGTCCTTGGCAAATAGAGCCCATTCTTAGGTCCCTGGAATCCGAGTAAGAATGCTGTCACTTTAAAATACAAAATGGCCACTGCTTGTAAATATTCAAAATGGCTGCACCCTCCAGACAGCCAAAAGTCCACAGCTCAGGTTGTCTCCCTACTTGCTGTTTCCCTTCCTAGTCCACCAGCACAGTCTTCCCTGCAGCCCTTGGTGACCAGGGCTGATCTTTAGGTCAATTCTCAGGTCCCAACACCACTTGGAAATATTCAGGCTGTTGGTTCTGTCAGAGTAGCTGACAGTTCACTGCTTCGACTATCTCCATACTCACTGTTTTTGTTCAGGTTTTTCCACTAGTTGGTGCCTAATCCGCTTCTGTATAGTTCCTTTCAAAGCTCAGAGCTCCAGGATTATCTTCTGTATCTCTGTTAATTGGTTTCACTTTTCTTTGTCGAAGAGGGTCTGTGTAGCTTTTCTGCCTATTCTGCCATCTTACCAGAAGTCTCCCCATCTCTTCTTGACATAACTGTGACTCTCTGTGATTGTAAAAAAGAATTTCAGAACTCAAAGGGACCTTTTTTTAAAATTATTATTGTTGTTGTTAGGTGCCATTGAGTCGGCTCTGACTCATAGCAGCCCTGTGTACAACAGAACAAAACACTGCCTGGTCCTGTGCCAGCCTCACAAATCCCTGTTATACCTGAGTCCATTTTTGCAACCACTGTATCAATCCATCTCATTAAGGGCCTTTCCCTTTTTCTCTGACCATACACTTTGCCAAGCATGATATCCTTCTCCAGAGAATGGTCCCTCCTGACAACATAACCAAAGTAGGTGAGAAAAAGTCTGGCCATTCTCACTTCCAAGAAGCACTCTGGCTGTGCTTCCTCCAGGACAGATTTGTTAGTTCTTCTGGCATCCAGGGTACTTTCAGCATTGTTTGCCAACCCCACAACTCAAAAGCATCAACTCTTCTTCAGTCTTCCTTATTCACTGTCCAGTTTCACATGCATATGAGGCTACTGAAAACACCATGGCTTGGGTTAGGTGCACCTTAGTCTTCAAAGAGACATCTTTGCTTTTCAGCACTTTAAAGAGGTCTTTTGCAGCAGATTTCCCCAGTGCAATTCAACGTCTGATTTCTTGACTGCTGCTTCCATCGGTATTGATTGTGAAACCAAGTAACATGAAATCTTTGACAACTCCAATTTTTTCTCAATTTATCGTGATGCTGCTTATTGGTTCAGTTGTGAGTAGTTTTGTTTTCTTTATGTTGAGTTGTAATCCATACTGCAGTCTATAGTCTTTAATCTTCATCAGTAAATGCTTTAAGTCATCTTCACTTCACAAGCAAGATTGTGTCATCTGCATATCACAGGTTGTTAATACGTCTTTCTTTGATTCTAGGTCAGCAGCCTTGCCTACTTACAATCCAATACCATAAAATTCATAAAATAATCTGTTTTTTTTTTCTTTCTCTCTTTTTCTCCCTCCTTTCCTCCCTCCCTCCCTCCTTATCTCTCCCTCTCTCTTTCCCTCCCTCCCCCCCTCTCTCTCGTCTCCCTCCCTCTGGCAGTGAGTTTCTTGATGACAAGAGACTGTACCTCACAGGGTAGGTAGTCTGCCCAGGCTTGTT